ACGGACACATATTGTTAAAATTAACTTACTATTTACCAACAGGGGATAGAAAAATACATTCTGGTTACTCATGTTTTAAAATATTATTGTAATGAATTCAAGAAATTAGCAGAAGAATATGAATTTGTTCCCATTGTTGTAGCTTCAGGATTGGAATCTGTTACTTTTGATTCAGAAAAAAAAAACAGTTTATGGATAAGCGCAGTGTTAACTATATATGTATTTTAATTTTAAAAATATGGTTGTAGATTCTTGGAGACAATTAACTTTATCAAACATGGAAATTTAATTGTACTGATTCTAAAACTATAATCTCAAAGCTTGACATATTTATCAATTACCAGAACGTGTAGACATCGTGTTTAGTGAAATACAAATATTTGTCATTTTAGAAGCAATAGGAATACGTTATTAAATTAAATTAAATATTTCATTGTAGCAGCTCACATAGACTAGGGATCGCCGTTTCCTTAAAAGAAAGTAATGTCGAAAGAAACGAGGAGGCATAACTCTGAAGAGTAAAAATAAAATGATAATCTCAATAATTTGCAACTGATAACATCGTGAATAATAGCTACGTAGGTATCAAGAAGTCATTTATGATGATACCATTTGTGTCACGCTTTTCAAGTGAAAGAGTATCAAATTTGTGTAAAGTGAAATGGCTTGTGTCTTCCAGTAAGTGACAGCAAAATTTTCTTAATGTCCGCGTTCATTGAAATGTATTGAAATATATTCGTCATTTGTTTATCATACACAACTTTATTATGAGTATTATTTTGCAATGTTAGCTACATTGATTTCGGACTAACCTAAATTTCCTCTTAACGCCAAATTAAGATACTATTGGGATTGTGGCTGAAAATGTCGAGTAACAAACTGGCAAGTTAATGCATTTTTAATAATTACAAGTTCTGGTTTTGTTATTTAACTCGTCTAGTTAGACCAATTAATAAAGTAGCTACATTATTTACTGGGTTAATTTTTAATTCTAATTTACCTAGATGGCATGCCTTGACCAGAAACTATTGATAGTAAAAAGAATCTTGTGCAGAATAACGTGTACTAGAATTGTATTATTATTTTACCAGAGCTGTTAGAATAGCATAAAATACCAGCACTCCTCTGTAGGGTTCAAAGGCCACCTTATGATTCCCAGAAGTCCAAATGTACCGATTAAATTCCTCCATTATCCCCGATTATTTCTATAGCCAAGTCTAAGGGGGACTGTACCAGAAAATAAAATAAAATGTCAGGACACCAGCTCGTGATACTGGATCACAGTTTCTCCCGTAACCTTATGTGTGGGGGGTATGAACCGAAAATGCCAGAAACACAAAATGCAATGCCAATGATCCTGAAAACTTATCCTTAAACCCACATTATGCCTGGCATATCTTCTGGAATAGGTGAATCCTCTTGGAGGGGGCTACTCCACGTACATGAAGAAACCCTTCCACCTGCTAAGTTTGGTCTTGCTAAATCTAGAACTGTAGAAGGAGTTAGATGGACATACATACAAACCTAAAAGTTGAAGTAATTTATGATAACTTGGAATTGTTGATGAGGACCTTTTTTGTACTTCATCAACGGAAAGTCTGGTATTACCAAAGTCAAAAGTTTCTGATGTTTTTTCACCCTTCACATTTTTAATTTGCTAATCACATTCAATCATATTCTCTTAACTAGCTGCAATTGATACATCCTGCCTTATAACAGTTTTAGAATGAATTTGTTTAATGATATAGGTAATATACAATATTTAAGGTATTACATGATTATATATTTTTCGTATTGGACACAAAAGTATAGTAAAACCTCGATATGTTTCTCTATGTTATTCTTTTTATTGTTTAACTTATTGCAAAAATAAACAATGACTAAATAAGAGAGTGTTTTAACCATTTACAGATTTCTACGAATCCATTTTGCCGAAGAAATTGTTAAACAAAATCCATTGGAAAATGTCGCAAAATTCTTAGAAGACTTTAGGAAAGAATTTCAGAAATATAAAGTAATTTATAATGTTCACGGAACAGTCACCACTCAACATACTGTTTTTGATATTTGTCTTCAATCTAAAAATTCTACATAGTGAATGCCGTTAATATTTCTTATATACAATATATAGTTCACCACCGATTTTCCGGCAACTAATGGTCTGGAACCTCCTTTAATCCGGACAAAATTACTAGAGCGCACTTGAACTTCCAGCGACCGCCAGACTAGTTCACTGGATGGCCACGGATGACACTGCGTGTGCTTTTTAGTGATGGGCTACTTGCATTGTAAGTAGGTACGTCACTATCGTGAAAATTTTCTTATAGATATTAAACTAGTGGCAAAAATTGCTTGAATTTTTTCATGAATGTTGCCAAGAATATATAGTTTAACAAATTAGTAGTAATCCTGACAGCCCTCAACTTCTAGACCTATGTGATAAGCTCTACAATTCCAGCAAAATTCTAAAATTTGCTACTTTGCGGTACTACTGCAACATTCTTTGTAAGTACAGTAATTAATAAACCTTTTTCACTTATACTGTACTATAAACCTGTATCATTTACACCTGTCCTAATGTATTCCAATAATTATTTAATTTAAATTTAATATTTGTTTTATTTACGTTTCTAGCAGTCCATGCTGCTTTAGAGACACGGGAGGGGTATAATTAGTGGGTCAGAGGTGTGTTGTTCAATTATTATTACGTGACCTCCGGAAAAACGGATAATACGGCAAGGCTCTGGAACCAAAGGTGCCGGAAAATCGGTGGTGAACCTGTACGTCTAAAATGTCATTAATTATTACATTCATTCAAAAATAAGGATAAATATTATAGGAAAAATAATTATCAATTAATCTGTAACTTTAAGAAAGTTGATTACTAATAGAATCTAATAAAATATTACAGAACTTGACTAATTTTGTGACAATAGAAATTAAAATTAATGTGCATAGTAAACAACAGTATTGAATATTACAGATTTTCATAGAGTTTCTTTGAAATAGCTAAGACGGAACAATGACATTTCTTTCTTTCCTTAAATCAAAACTTGGTAAAAGTTATCCAGTAATGCAATATGTATGCTTATTTTGTTGTTAAGTACAAAGCTACTCAATAGTCTGTCTGTGCTGTGCCCACCACGGGCGTCGAAACCCGATTTTTAACGTCATAAGCATTCACACTTACTGCTGAGACACTGGAGAACAATGTAGTATGCGTACAGAAACATTGCCATAATTACAAAGTCACATCAAGGTTGTGTTGTAACATTTAGAATTTTTGGAATTATTTTCATCAGTAGGGACTTCAGTGCAATAAAATTTACAACTACTCATTCGTTATTTGTAGCCACTATATCTAAAGTTTTATCTCATGACCGAAGAGAGAACGCAACTCGCAATCACTATGGGCTGGAATGTAAGAGCAGTGGAAAGAGAAGAAAAAAACTGATTCGCTTTTCCAAGTAACACCAATGTTTTGTTAAATCGTTGCAGCTGTAGTACGTAATGACTGAATAGATTATATTTCTACATCGTCTTTTTTTCACCGAAAATTTTTATCTTTATGTACTGCTACTTTTCCGAAAAAAAATTAAAAATTATTCACAACATCTTCAAAAATGCCTGCCCAGTACTGTAAATGTTTACAGTAATATATCATACATGGTTTAAAGTACAAGTGAAAAAAATTCGATTAGAAACTAACTTGTAATGTTTTGCTTTCTCGTACATACAACGTATCGTAGACTACTTTATCACTCACATGGGATCTGGTAACATGAGAACGTGCAATGTGTAGTCTACTAGATAAATTTAAAACGGAGTGTAATTAAAGAGATTAACCAGTAAAAAAAAATCATATATATGTATGTATAACATAGAAGATGCTGTAAATAAGTAAGAAAAACACATAAGTTCAACTCTCCCGGACAGTGGATACCTGAACACTTGATAAATGAAACAAAAAACTATAACCACTAAGAATAAGCATATCTCCGTCACACCAAACATGCTCACCCTTTCAGCCGTGGGTGCGTTATAATGTGACGGTCAATCCCACTATTCGTTGGTAAAAGAGTAGCCCAAGAGTTGACGGTGGGTGATGATGACTAGCTGCCTTCCCTCTAGTCTTACTCTACTAAATTAGGGACGGCTAACGCAGATAGCCCTCGTGTAGCTTTGCTCGAAATCTATAACAAACAAAACAAACAAACAAGAATAAGCAGAAAGAAATTTACGGGCACAGAATAATCTCCGATGTGAAAGTTCTATCTGAAAACGTACAGAGGCTATATAAACAACATAAAGTCAGATAATTATTCAGAAGCCACAACACGATACGATCAAAGTTAGAACATACAAATCCACCTAAAGACCCAACGGAGAACATAAACATAATTTTTGATTCACTGGGAGTTCTCATTTCGTAACGAATGAGGTAGGAAACTGAAGTTTTATTTAATGAACTGTTTAAAAGGTAGAGCAAAGATTCCAGCTCGCGGCTTTGGACTCAGTCGTGTTTCTTGAGTATAAATGAAAGGTCTCAGAAAATAAAGCTTTAAAGTAAGTAGTAGTTAATCTTTAACTTAAATAAGTTAGTTAGTAGGATTTCATTTGATTAATTATCTTAAGATTACACGAGGTTAGGATAGTTATAGTATCAAAGCTTTAAAATGTAAGCTCAGCGTTTTAGTGTTGTCAGTCCCGCACCAAACCATGGAATTGAGTTTGTTCATTATAGCAGTCGCTTATAATTTCGCTTTGTTGTTGTTTATTGTACTTTACGCTTGTTTTTGGCCCTAACCGCTTATTATTAAAAGTGGAAACATGACAAAGTACGTAGCGAATTATATATTTTCCAAATACTGCGTGATTCTGATTAGACTAATCTCACGCTGCGCAACAGATTATTTAAATTTATACCAGCCATTGAGCGCATTCAATTTTCTAACAAGGACAAATCAGACGGGATTCTGGGATAGTTTGCGAATTCCGCCACAACCGCCTAGCAACAGTAAATTGACGGTGGCCAGGCAAAAGAGAATTTGGCGTACATAAATTTTCTTATAACTATCATACAAACTTGATGTCACGAAGAAGCTGATCCATAAATTAATAAGTTATGGGTAAGGTGCAGTAAAACAAACTTTTTTTTCTATAATATATAGTCCTCTGACGTGAAATATAATTGTAGATTTAAGGTTATTGTTGTGTACCTTTTTATATACCACCCAGTAACTTTTGTGTGTCATAGCTTTTAAATTTTTTTGATAGAAATTTGTTAAACGTGCAGAGTGTGAATGTTAAAGGTACTGAGTGGATTTTAAAGACATGGTCTGAAAGTTGAAGAAATATTTTAGTTAAGCTGTTGTGTCTGTTGCTGTGTATTGGCACGTGTCGTTATTTAAATTTTAAATATCATAATTTTCTTTACAAATATTGCGTACACAGATTAAAGTTGAGTTACATAGTGACTTGTGGGAGACTAAAGATAAATCAGAAATACTGTTTTTACATACCTCTGATTTCGGGCCGTAATGGACAAATTAAGAAAAACTGGTAAAAAATACATTACAGTTAATTTGTGCTTATAGTTATAACAATTTTATAGGCCTGTTGGTTTTCCAGTATTTTGTCGGCTTTCAACGTTTAAACAATAACCTTTAAAGAATATTTGTAATCTAGATAATCGGATTGTTTTCATTTGTTTGATTTTGTTTCATTTATTCCAGTTTTTTGGTAGTGCTTTACTCACCAAGAACCGCAAAACGAATTTGAAATAAATTCAATTTCATAGCAATATTTGTGAAACTAAGAGAGCTTCAAAATAAAATACATAAAATAAACAATTTGTTTAAATTATTAATGGCTTGTTAAATTTTCTGAAGTTGTTATTCAAATTATTAAACCAATTTTGAGGTATAAGATTCTAAAACTATTTTGATAAATAAACCTGTTTTCATTTATGTTGAAGTTAGGTAAAAAATATTCTTCATAGACTAATCACATTCTACAAAAAATCACCAAAATCTATAGGGCTAAGCAGAGAGAAGTAATTTTAAAATGAATTTAAATAAATTTTAAAATTTATAAGTTCAATTATATTTTTGCGAGTGTTTAAGACTGTCGCTCGTCCATTCCATGATTTTTCTTATGATGATTGATTTATATGCTCTTTGAGCATGAAGTGTGACATATAGAATCTGTTTTGTAAAATCTTTTAACAATATAGCTAAAGGTTTACAGAAAAACTGAAAAGTGCAGTATTGTTTTCGTTAATGTGACATTAGTAAGACATATGATATCGCTAACCTGCAAAATAGAGTAAGAGGTTTACTTTCACCACATCTATATTGATACTACGGAACTTTAATTTTTTAGAATGAACCCGAAACCAGTCAAGTATTATTTGAATAGATCAAAATGAGAATATGGGTGGATGGAATCAAGATTATCTCATTATGTCTCGAAGATGATCCGGTGTAACTGGAATATTTTCTTAGACTTTAGATGTTGTTCAGGTGAAGTTACTAAAAACATGCTTTTATCACACTGTCGAAACTTGACTAAGATTATTGCCGTTGATGTTCAACCAGCATTTGTGGACTTCGCCAAGGAAACATTCGGTCATGAAAGAATTGAATATATGGGTCTGGATATAACAGAAAAGTAAAGAAAAAATTATCTTATTATATATGTATATGTTTTATTAAGTTATGTTAACGCGGTGTTTTTAAGAAAAAAAAAATGTTTTTTATTTCAGTAATTTTAACTGTTATATATATATTTAAGAATCCACGTTTATCTAGCTATTTTGTTTCCCTCTCGTTTTTATATTTGTAATACCAAATGGAAACGTACATTATTAATGAAGACTTTTATAATAAATCTAATTTCTTACCAAGTCAACACATGTAATAGCTGCTAATAGATAATGAAAGTGTTTTTGAAAAGTCAGTTTAAAATATAAAATTATAAACTTTAACAGCATCGAACTTTTCTTATTATAACAAAAATACTTCAGAATGTAGCATATTAATGCAGTAAAATATAAAACTTTAAAAATTTGTATGTGCAATATATACTAGATATATATATAAATACGACAGGCCTTTCTCTCCATAAGAAATTTCGGGGGTATTGTCACCAAAACCTCCTCTCCTTTACTTATTATAACACGATTGAGGCAACATTATAAAATATATTGTAAAATAATGTAAATATATAGTTATTTCTATGATATTTGAATGTTTTTTATCACCACATCTGCTGTGCGAATGAGGTCACTGTCTTGTCCGATGACAAGACAAATTGTTTAACAATTTCCTGTTAATCGTTCGTACACATAGAAGGAATAATTGAACATAACATTTTTATTACTTTTTAAGTTTCTAGTCCTGACAGAAAAATCGAAACCACTCCAAGGAAGACGATATATAAATTCAGATAAATGTTTGTATTCTAGTCGACGTTTCGGCTTACCCCTTTAGTTTGTTTTATTTTTTTTAGGCTTTTTGAAGGTCAAAGTTTTTTGTTAAGTCTTCAGGAAAGACGAAAGACGGAAGACTTTCGAAACGTCGTCATCTACACTTGTAGGTTTCTACAACAGGCAGTTGCTGTCCATTTGAAACTTAGGTTCAACCTAAACACAACTGAATCAAAGTGGCAATAACTAAATATAACTCTCTACTACTTGAACAGAAGGATTACTTGCATATATATTTAACGACAAAGTGACTGATGATAGAAATTGGAGAATTTTCAAAAGAAAAAAAAAACAACCTTAAACTTCCAAGAAATTACAATGAGTTTTATGGTCTTGCAAACGGAAAACAAGTTGAGTTTTCCATACCTAAACACCGTACGTATTTAACCCTTTCAAAATGAATATGTTAATTTGATAGTAGCGAAAATTAGAAAAGAAAAAAAAGCCTTCCTTTTGAAACAGCAGTTATGCTATTTAACGAAATATAAAGAAGTGAAGAAACTGAAAAAAAACAGCTGAAAGGAAACTTGAAAGGTTGATATAAAAAAATATAATAGAAACTTGAACATATGTTATCTTCGAAAGTAAAGTGAACAGAAAAAACAAACATGAGGATCAGTTATTTGATATTGTCAAAATAATGAGCCTTACTCTTATTATTATTATATATAGTAGTAGTATTTAGTAAGTAGGTTGAATAATATGGGTGTTGGGCTAAGGAGTTTTTTACAGTAGGTGTCTGTGACTTGTTGCCGATAAATTGAAAAATAAACGAACAGCAGGCACTGCACTTGTTTTACAAAATAACACACACACACATATATGTATATATATTCGAACTGGTTAAACTTATGTACAACAAAATCTTTACACTATATAGATCATAGGCATATCATAAACACTATATATAGTTTTCTTTTTCTTGTCAAAAGTCCACTTAGACCTATTCAGTTGCTTTAGAGTTTCTGTTAACAAGCTGAACTACCTTTCTCTATTTCTATTGCACTAGTATTCCGTGTATTATTCACTTAAAATTATAGCGTGAGCTACCTCAGTCATATACTACTCTTCCAGTAATCGTCTAATCCTCGTACTTCAGATATTGTCTGTTCCTTTTGTCAAAGTGCACGCAGGCTGGTTCAATTACTTTAGAACTCGCTTTGATGAAATAAACTATACTTCTCATCTCTTTAAAACTGTTAAGTTTCCTCTAACATATTTGTCGTTAGGCCTTTCACTCCTATGGCAGTTAACATTTAACTTTCCTTGGCCGAACTTCTACTTCCCGTGACTTTACTTTCTAGTCTGTCTGCTGTTCTCGCCAGTCTCATACTATTTATATATTTATCACTTAATAATCTGCTCGCCTTCTAGAAAGCTCTATATCCTCGATATCAATAAATTTCACGTGCTGTTCGATAGCCTCAACATCAATGAATTATAAACACAACTTCCAATAATCGTCTGCTTTTAACTCTTATTATAAAAGAACTAAACAATCAAGAAATATTAACTCAAAATAATTAATTACTACTACCTACACTAAACAGTCTTTTATATCTGAGATAAACCCTCTTCAAGAGAAATATTTGCAATACTTTTTTACTATATACAAAGACTGTTCTTAGTTCATACACTAAGTCTGCTCATACAGTCTGCTCCAACATTTGCAGTCTCTTTGATAGCTTTAAAGTGGAACCTGTAGATCTGAAGGTACAATGCCTACCTCGTAATCCTTGCACCTCTGAATGTATGCAAGAGGTTGATGGTCTGTCTGGATGAGGAACTCCTTCCCATATAGATAGTTCTGGAACTTCTGGATAGCAACTATGATTGCTAGACACTCTTGTTCAATTATGGAGTAGTAGTTCCCACTACTTAAAAGTTTTTTTTACTTATATATGTTACGGGAAACAGTTCATGTTTATGTTCTTGTAAGAGTACTGTCCCAATTCCAATGTTTGGAGCATCAGCCTGGACAATGAATGGTTTGTTGAAGTCTGGCATCCTAAGAATTGGCAAACTCTCCAATATATTCTTTAATTTCTGGAATGCCACCTGGTATGGTTGTTCCCACTTCACCTTGTTGGGCAAGCCTTTCTTGGTCAGTTCAGTCAATGATACAATAATTTCAGCATAATTTGGGATGATTTTCCGGTAGTATCCTACTAGCCTTAGGAAGAATCTGACTTGCTGCTTGGTCATCTGAGCTGGTGTATTTTGTATGTGGATTATCTTTTTCTTTTCCATGGCTATATTTTGGTCTCCAACTTTATGTCTAACAAACTTCAGCACAGAATATCCAATGTAGAACTTGGATGGTCTGACAGTGAGGCCTGCTGCCCTCACTCGCCAGAACAGCTCTCTCAGTCTCCTCAGGTGGTCTTTCCATCTTGCAGTGTATGTCAGAATGTCATCCACATACTCCTCGATGTTGGTGGTGTTGCGCATCCTCCTCCTCATAATGCAGTTGAATGTTGCTGCTGGGTTGACTAACCCAAATGGCATCTGCTTAAATTGGTAACATCCACCTGGTGTCACAAATGCTGTCTTCTCTTTAGATCCCATCTCCATCGAGATTTGCGAATAACCTTTACTGAGTTTGATCTTTGAAAATAATCTGGCCACATCTAGTTTTGCCATGATGGCCTCTGAGTTGCCCATAGGTTCGGAGTCAAACTTCGTCACGAGATTCGGCTACCGGAAGTCTATGTAGAAACGGTTTGATCCACCCATCTCCTTCGTGATTACAACTGTTGAATAGCAGGCTGAATTTGAAGGATTGATGATTCTGGCTTCCAATATTGCCTCAACTTTCTGGTTTATCAGGTTTCTCATTGCATAAATCATCTGATAGGGCTTCACTTTGACTGGATCTCTGGTTGTAGTCTCAATCTTATGTTGCACAAGGTCTGTCTTTCCTGGTTTAACCATGAAGATATCTCCATACTGGCATAGTAGGCCTTCTAATGTCTCATCTCCACCTAATAGTCTTAAGTCAGTAAGTCCTCATATTCTAAGACAAAATCACTGTCTTCTGGTTTTTCATACATGATGACCACACCTGCAACATCCACCTCTATTTCAATAGCCGCACCCATTAAGTCTTCTTCTCTTTTAAAATACTTCTTCAACAGATTGGCATGATAGATCTTGGTCTTCACATTCACCTTGTAATCCATTCTGTTGAGTACTTCCTGGACTTCAAAAGGTCCTTTCAATTGCAGTGTGAGTTTGTTGTGGTATTTGGGCAGCAGAACTAAGACCTTGTGTTCGAACTTGAAACGTCAATCCTTGACCTTCTTCCAGTCGGTTTCTGAGGTCTAACACATACTGATATATGTTTCTTACTTCTGACTTCTTCTCCCGTTCATAGCTCTTCCAATATTTGCATCGGACCTCGTACTGTTCTTCCATACAGTAACTCGAAGGGTGAAAATCCTGTACTTGCTTGTGGGACTTCTTGATAAGCCTTGAAGTACCTGTCCCAGTCACGTGGTCTTTCTTGGCACATCTTCTTTAGCATGCTCCTTAAAACACCATTGACTCTCTTACAAAAACCATTACATGGGGTGGTAAAGAGCTACCGAATACTGATGAGTCTGCACACTTCCTGCATAAGTTTTGAAGTAAACTGGGTCCCTCTGTCACTCAGGATTTCTCGTGGAAAGCCTACTCTACAAAATATCTCCAGTAGAGCTTCTGCCACTCTTTCTGTCTCTATCTTCACCAGTGCTATTGCTGCCAGATAACGTGTTGCATAATTGATTACTGTCAGCACACCGGTTGCCTTTGTCAGACACAGGCGCTAGTTGCCTAATCAAGTCCACAGCTACTCTTCTATTGCCTGGGTTTGTAACAGATCTAGTCCTAGGTGTGACATTAATCTGCATCCATCAAGAAAGGTAAGAGGGAAAGCAGTTCATTTTCTTCTAATGTGGCACATGTCAAGAATAATTCTTTTGAAATAAATGATGTAAACATAGCCTCGCAATTTGATGTGGAGAAGTGTTCAGCAGAGGAAGAAGTAAGACTTTGTTCCTCAACAAGCGAAATTTTTATTGGAGAAAAGAGAAAGGAACTGTAATCAAGACTGGAACATGGAATGTTAGAACAATGTTGAGGGTGGGATAATTAGAAAACACCAAGAAAGAGATGCTTCATGCCCACATTAACATTTTGG